TCTCATACAGGAGCCTTGGTGCAATCAGGGCATTAAAGGCCTGTACACCAAGGAATCAAAGGTAATATGCGACCAACGGGGTGCACACCCAAGAGCATGCATATTAATAAAAAAAATATCAATTATAATATCTTTTCAGAGTTCCTAAGCAGTGACTGTGTCGCGGTAACTGTGAGCGGCGCAGGAAGGTTACCAGCGATCGCCATAGCATCGGCGTATTTTGCTGGGGATGCAGCATGCCCACCACCGGAAATCATCGGACTCGTGGAATTCTGCAGGAGGAAGAAGATGCCCCTAATCATCGGGTGTGACGCCAATGCACATCACGTGATATGGGGAAGCACCGATGTCAACAACAGAGGTGAGCAGCTAATAGAATTTATTGTAAATAGTAACCTAGAAATCGGTAATGTCGGGTCCACACCGACATTCATTACTAGAGTAAGAGAGGAGGTCCTAGACATAACTCTTATGAGCAGGTCTCTAGGACCACTTATTAAGAACTGGCAGGTGTCGCCAGAGGAATCAATGTCGGACCACCGAATCATTAGATTTGAATTAGACTTCACCACCGCTAGGGACGCCCCCAAAAGGAATCCCAAGAAAACAAACTGGGATCGGTTCAAGTCCTCTCTTGAGCTCGATCTCTCTAACGAACCGTCAGGTATACCCAGACATTCTTTAGTATTGGATCAGGCAGTGGATAACCTCTGCAAGAAGATAACCAATGCGTTCGAGGAACGTTGTCGTCTTGGCAGACGGAAAGCAGATAGAGACGCCCCATGGTGGAATGACAACCTGGAACGGCTCCGAATCTCCACCCGCCGGCTCTTCAACAGAGCAAAAACGAGCGAGGATAACTGGAGACAATATAAACAAAGCCTGACGCTCTATAACAAAGAGATCAGGAAGGCCAAACGGAAGAACTACAAAGACTTATGTGAGGCAATCAGCACAGCCCATGAAGGGGCCAGATTGCACAAGGCTAGGGCCAAAGTTGCACCAGAAAGTAACCTAGCCCTGAGGAAATGTGACAACTCTTACACTTCCGACGACAGGGATAAACTAGCTTTACTCTTTGAAACACACTTCCCCGGGAGCTCATCCCTGATGGAAGATACGGCCAACCAAATGGAGGCAACGTCCACTCCAAGATATCTCAGACCAAGCGCAGAGGACTGGGCAATTGCCAAGTCTTTAGTCTCCCCGGAGAGACTTAAATGGGCAATTGGGACCTTCCAACCATTTAAGTCCCCTGGTCTGGATGGTATCTCTCCATCATTCCTGCAGCAGGGACTGGACGTACTCCTAACCCGCTTAAGGAGACTGATGCTAAGCAGCCTAGCAATTGGACACATCCCAAATGCGTGGCGTAGAGCTAGGGTGGTCTTCATCCCCAAAGCAGGGAAGAAAGACATCACCAACCCAAAGTCCTTCAGACCTATCAGCTTAACTTCGTTTTGCCTTAAAAAGTTAGAAAAGCTGGTAGACCACCATATTAGGAGCACAGTTCTTAAGGACTGTCCGCTGCAACCCACGCAGCACGCATACAGGGCAGGTCGTTCAAAAGACACTGCACTGTACCAACTTTGTCACACTCTTGAAGGGGCAGTGGACAACAAAGAAGTTGCAATCTGCGCCTTTCTGGATATAGAGGGAGCCTTTGACAACGCGTCGCATGATGCTGTCTTAGCGGCCCTCGCCAGAAGGAATATAGACGCGACAACAAGAAGGTGGATTGGAGCCTTGTTAAGCTCCAGGCAGGCAATGGCGACCATTGGCAACTGCACAATGACCGTTGCCACAAGCAGAGGATGTCCGCAAGGAGGAGTTTTGTCTCCTTTACTGTGGAGCCTACTAGTAGATGAACTACTAAGGAAACTCGCCGACAGAGGAGAACAATGCCAGGGCTATGCCGATGACATAGTAATAGTAGCCAAAGGGAAATTTCAAGAAACGCTTTGCGATATTGTCCAACTCGGACTTAACCTCAACCCCGCAAAAACAGTCAGTGTTCTTTTTACAAAAAAGTACAAACTAAAGAAGATGAGACAGAGCTACACCCGTAGCAATAAGCCGGGAAGTTAAGTACCTCGGATTTACCTTCGACAGGAGGCTAACGTTTGCAACCCATATGCAAAAGACAGTGGATAAGTGCCTCAGGGCTCTTTTCACCTGTCGGAAAATTGCAGGGAAATCTTGGGGGACCTCACCCCAAATTATCAGATGGTTATACCTTATAATTGTGAGGCCAATACTCACATATGGGGCAGTAGCCTGGGGTAAAAAGAGCTAGGCTCGTTACCGCACAGAGACAGCTCCAAAGGCTGCAAAGACTGGCATGCATATGTATGACAGGAGCAATGAGAACCTGCCCCACTGCGGCACTGGAAGTTCTCATGGAACTCACTCCGCTACACTGCGTAGTAGAATTACAACGGAAGGCCACCCTACTAAGAATCACTTCTTGTGGTAATGGCAGTGACCGCATCCTCAGCTCTAGGGATGCTGCAAAACTACTAGTCGAATTTCCCCTGAGTTCACACCCCAGGGACGAAATGACAGTAGAATTCATCTTCGAAAAGAATTTCTCTGCTCATCTGAGCAACAAGAAAGAATGGACCACCATGAAGGAAGTACACTCCATGGCGAGTCACACTATAGCGTGGTATACGGACGGGTCTCTAACACACCAAGGCACTGGCCTTGGCGTAGTAGGACCACGAATCAAGTACCATGAATCGTTAGGCCAATACACCAGCATATTCCAAGCTGAAGTTTGCGCCATAGGACGGTGTGCAGAGCTCAATATGAAGCGTGGGTACACAAACAAGGACATTGTGATCCTCTCGGACAGTCGAGCGGCAATTACTGCACTATGCAGAAATAGAATCACCTCGAAGCTGGTTCGAGAAGTAAGAACAAAGCTGAACCTTCTGGGCAGCAAGAACAGGCTGTCATTAAGATGGATTCCAGGACACAAAGACATATCCGGGAATGAACTAGCCGACAGGCTAGCAAAACTAGGGGCGGAACGACCCCTTATAGGACCCGAGCCTTACTGTGGCATAGGCAGACACACAGTCAAAGATTACCTAAGAACGGAAGAGGTACATATGAGGCAAGCCTGCTGGGTAGACACCACAGGCCAAAGACAAGCCAAAACCCTCATCGTCAATTATGACATGAAGAGGGTTAAGAAACTTATACTACTAGGGAAGAGATCACTTAGGATAGTTACCGGCTTACTAACCGGACATTGCAAACTAAGGAGACACCTATTTAATATAGGGATTACAAACAGGAAAACATGCAGATTCTGTGATAGCGAGGATGAAACCTCCATACACATAATATCAGATTGCCCAGCACTAAGTAGCCTAAGGAGCAGAGCCCTCGGGTCCAGGTTCCTTACACTTGGGACCTCCGGAAGCATCGACCCGATAAAGCTCCTTAACCTTATCGAAGGAGCCGGGTTGATGGGTGAGCTCTAAGCTCAGATAGGGGGTACAATAGATCCAGTTGGGTCGAAGTAACCTTCCCCCCCCTAATAATAATAATAACAACCATATTCTGGTTCTGGACCAGCGTTTGCATGGTCGTTTTCATAAATGACATGAACTCCATCATACTTGGTTTCATGGTTAACATCATCAGTTTCCAAATTGCTTTGTGGCTGGACTGGGACTTGCTTAGCGTTTTCTGAGTGTGGCTGGAGTGGATTTTCCATACCCGTTCGTAGAGCATCAGCGTAGGAGACGCCGTTGGTGGTACTGAGCGGACCGAAAGTTGATCTAGCTGCCTTGGCGAAAAATACGTCTGGCGTAGTTTTTGATTTAAAACACACATTTTGTGTATTTTGTTGACGCGTAGCTTTCGCTTGTCGCATGCGACTCTTCAGCTGCTTGTAGACCAGACAGCCTCTGTAGTTTGCTGTATGGTTTCCTCCGCAGTTCCCACATTTTTTGTATGGGGGTCTTCTTTGTTAGCAGGACAGTGTGCGGAATTGTGGAAGTCTCCGCAGACTACACAGACTGACCAAAGTGTGCAGTATGTCCTGGTGTGTCCAAACTCCTGACCATTTGTGCATTGCACTGGGCCGTTCCGTTTGTGTGGTTCTTCGACTGGGATCCTCCGATGCAGTAAGAACTGCAGCTTGTAGATCGGGTGCACTTCATTTTTCTTTAGGGTTTTGCAATCTGGCTCGAGCTCGACCCTAAAGAGTGGTTGCGGCTTTTTATTTTTGTTGAAAATATTGCTAACATTCTTAGCCTTGTCCCTTGTCTTTAAGGGCTTCTAGTATCTCAGAGGAGGCGACGTCGGGTTCGATTCCTTTTAGTACTACTTGTAGCCCTTTGCTGCTTTTTAGTTGGTAGGTATAAAAATTCTTTTTTGTTTCTTCCAGGTATTTGGACACAGCTCGGAAGTATTTTTCATACTTCGTTTCAAAACTTTAGTTTCGTGGATGTTCCCTTTAATAAGCGGAACAATATGAACATTTCCATCCCCGACCAGCGCAACAATTTTGTTGACCAGGACGTTTGAGCTTTTTTCCCTAATATAAATAGGTGGGGGCTTTGGTTTCTTTTGAGTCACTTGCTCCGGCTCAGCTTGGCTCTCACCATCTGCTAAGAGGGAAAATCTGTTGCTGTTGTTGGAAGTTTGGTTTGGTTTGGATTGTACGGTTTATCTTTGGTTTGTTACCAACCGTGTTTTGCGGGCTAAGCTTACGCTTTATCTGGATGTAGCGATCCATACCGGTCTGTATGGCCGGAACCGCTTGTTGCAGTTTGCGATGGAGCCGTTGAATCCGTTTTCGCAATAGTGGTCGTTGCTTTAGTTGTTTCCGTTACTTTTGCCGAGGTAGCAGAAATTAAATCACTGCTTGTTGTTGGTGCGTCTCGCATAGAAGCCGGTGGTGGTGGGGTCTGGTTTTATTTTTAAAATTACTATTGTATTGTAAAAAATTAAAACCCCTTTGTCCACGGTTTTACTCTTACCTGTGGAAATTCCTCGTATTTTTTCCCCACGCATGTTTTTTTTACTGCATCCTTGAACTCCTGATTTGATATTTTTCCATCCTAAAAAGATAAATTAAAACAATCTATTTAGTTTATATTACTTAATATAACATTTTGGAAAGCGGATGATATGAGTTCACAGAGTGGCAGATTAATACACTAAGTAACAGCACCTAAAAGGGATAGGGAATTAAGGATTAAAAAAAGAGAACTCAATATTTTATAGATAAAGGAATCAAATGACACAAAGCTGAAATGTATATCTTTGTTTTTTTTTTTTTGTAAGCACTTTCATAACTGGCTTGTTTATTTAAAAGCGCTAAACTTTAATAAATGACAGCAGTAACATGATCCCTGGTTACTGGTACATGCCTCGCACCCTTACTATGCGCGCGCGAAGCGAATTGACGCTCGTTAGAGTCGTTGGTCGGCGCACGCCCTGAGACCGAGCGCGCGGACCGTGCATGATGATCTTGAATATTCTATAACTCAAAAACTACTTTTGATACCATTCTGAAATTTTAGTATGTTCATCAGAAGAATTTGAAGGATTTATTGTGATAAAAAAAAAACGAAAATAAAAATTGTCCAAGTTGGAGAAAATTTAATTTGCTATAAACATTTGAACTTTTTGTGGTGAAAAATTGTTTAAACAAATCATTTCACGAAAGTTTTGCTAAGAAGAAGGAAGGATGAAATTTTTACTTCCTATAGATTTTTTTCTGCGACGTACGGTTATCGAGTTATTGGGGCTGTAAAACGCGACTGTCATCAATAAAAAGGAAGTTCATCAAAAATTCAAAAAATCATAACTTCGTCAAAAAATTTTTCTGAGCCATATAAAAAAATACGTGTCGATTTATTTTTGATAAAAAGCATGAAAAAAAAATATCTTATCGAATTTCCCAATATCGACTGCAAATCTGATATGGAATCACCCATACATTCTTTATCAGCATCACGATCTGAATTGAAACACGTCTGTCCGTCGTCCGTCTGTCCGTCTGTCTGTTTCTCTTTAAACTAGTCTCTCAGTTTCAAAGCTATCTTGCTGAAACTTTCCCAAAAGTTGTGTAGGTTTTGCACGCAGTATATAAGTCGGAACGGGCCAGATCGGAGGACTATAGATAGCTCCCATACGAGAGAATGAAATAAAAAATTCTCACTCCGTTGTTTTTGATCAGATTTTTTTTTTTTTTTTTGATAAAGCTTTGCTTTGTTTATTGAATCTTCTCCTTACGGGACTAACAATAAGTGTATCAAATCATATACTATAAGCTTACTATCAGTCATATAGACTGGCGCAGTAAAAATGGCCCTGAAAAATTATGGCTGAGTTGGAAGGTCGCTACGTTGTAGGCGTGTTCTTCTGGAGACCCAAGCCAGATCCCTTGCGAGAGGATTTGGGTGTGCTGAGAGTTTTTCTTTGTATGACGCTTTTTTCTTCTCTATTTCATCTTTTACTGCGAAATGCCAAGGTCCCTGTGAATGTTTTGTTTTCGAATATACCATGGTGCCCCAGTGATAGTTCTCAGGATCTTTGCTTGAGCGGGCTTTATGATGTCTATGTTAGTTTTGCTCGTGTTCCCCCAGAGCTGGGAGCCATACGTTCAGATTGGATTAGGAGTGGAGTTGTAGAGCAGTACCTTGTAGTCCAGACACATGGGCGATCGGGCGTTTATAATCCAGTGGAGGCTGCTGGGTTTTAGTTTTAGATGTAGTTTCTTGCATTCGATGTGTGTACGCCATGTTAGGCGTCTATCGAGGTGGACGCCGAGATACGTTACTTCGTTGACTTGGGGGATTTGTGTGCTATTCAAGTAGATCGGAGAGCATGATTGTCTGTTGAGAGTAAACGTTACGTGCTTACACTTCTGTTCGTTTATTTTGATACGCCAGTCGGATAGCCACTTCTCTACTACCGTGAGGTGGTTGGCTAATTGGGATGTTGCACGGACTGGGCATCTGGAGCGGCTGAGTATCGCAGTATCGTCAGCGAAGGTGGATGTTAGTAGTCGGACGCTCGTGGGAATATCCGCTGTGTAAAGGACAAATAGAGTAGGTCCAAGTGCGCTTCCTTGTGGGACTCCAGCTTCGATTTTATAGTTTTCGGATATTGTTATGTTGCACCTCACTGTGAAGACTCTGTTATAGAGATACGACTCGAGTAATTTATGAGTGTATCCGGGAAAGTGTGTTTTGATTTGCATAAGACCGTTGAGCCAGACGCGATCGAATGCTTGATATACGTTGAGGAATATCGCGCTGCAGTATTCTCTATGTTCGAAGGCTGTGCGAATCTCTGATGTTATTTTATTTACTTTGAGGCCAAATTGATGGGCTGGGATAATGTTATGAGCTTCCATATATGGTAATATGCGTATTAGAAGGCATTTTTTCGAACAGTTTGGACAGGCATGATAAAAGACTTATTGGTCTGTAAGAGGATGGAATCGTGTGATCTTTTCCGGGCCTCGGTATCATTATAATTATTGACTTTTTCCATTTTTTTGGGTAGTAGCCAAGACTTATGATCCCATTGAAGAGTTTACAGATGACCTCAATAGCACAGTTTTTAAGTTCAATTATAATTTTTGGAGTTACAGTAGAATCCTGTTACAACGACTCCGCTTATAGTGTCCGTCCGGGTTTTGCGACGAAAGCTCAATGGTTTGGTTGGTCCCCATACAAACTTATATGAAAGGGCCTCCGCTTAGAGCGTTTCCGCTTTTAGCGACAAACCGCTTATACGAACGAAATTTTTCAAGAAAATTGAAAAATTTTACCGGATATTGCGTCGTGCAGAAAAAAAATACATTGCAATAGTGCCCAATTTAAGCATCAAAACACGCTGTTAGAAATGTATGTATTTATTAGTGATCGGCACCTTTGCTTGTGTGCGTAGCAGCGACACGAAGGATCTTACACTGTCACTATTCTTTGTTAGTTTTAGCTGTCGCCTTAACAACGTTGATGCGAGAGAGAGAGAGAGAGAGTCGAAGTGCAATGCCGACGTCACACTGTGTGTGCAGACCTCATAGCCTTTTCCATGAGATGTCCCGTTATAATTCTAGTTTTTTCTGTTTTTTCCCGAGTAAAACTAAAAGCGTAAATTTGGCAAATGCAAAAGATGCAATAAAAGCTCACTCAGTTTTTAGTATTATGAGAAACCCATGCTTTTGAATAAAATTTTTTAAATTTTTTGTTTTAATTAAAAAACTAATTTGATTTATTTTAAAAACCTATTACGAAGACGGCAACCATAAATAAACAAAAAAACGTTTTTTTGTTCCTTGCGTCTTCCGGGTATAACGACGAAAAATCGTCGGTCCCTTGAAAGTTGCTATAACCGGGTCTACTGTATTTGGTCACCGCCGGGAGCCTTTTTCGGTTTTAGCCTCCGGATGACTTTGGTGATCTCATTCGGTCGAAACGATGGTATTGTAGATTCGTTTTCAGTTTGGATTTCAGGTAGAACAAAAGGACTTGCGGCGGGATTTTTGGGTCTGTCTGTGTCGCTGCGCGCCCAGCCACCTGAAAAATTTCTTATCGGGGAGACGGTTTCAGCCGGGGAGCTTAGATTTGGGTGAGCCCTCCACAAAGGATGCTTTGCACTAGTTGGAGAGAGTTTCTCGATATATCTCAGTTGTGCGTTTTCGGCATCTTGCTTCAGAACCCGGTTTAGTTTGCGGGTGGCTTCATTTCGACGTTGCTTTGAGCATGGCGATCTGCTGGTTTGCCACGCCCGTCGCAGACGCCGTTTTTTTCAGACCTAGCTGTTCAATTTGCAGGTTGGTTTTGAACTACTTTATTTGCACATCATGTCGTTGTGGTGTTGAGATCCTGGCTGCTGTGACGAGTACCTCTTCCAGGGCGGCGGTAGAGCAGTCGATGTCCGCTTCGATTTTCACAATCCTCCCTTGAAATCAATTTTTGTCCATCGAAAAAATTTGTCATGGCCAAAAACAGATGGTAATCGCTGGGGCAATGTCCGGACTATAAGGTGGATACATTAACACTTCCCAACCAAGCTCCCGTAGCTTGTGACCCCTCACCAAAGATGTATGGGGCCTGGCGTTGTCATAATGGAACACAACGCCCTTACGATTCACATTGGCTGGCCGCTTCTGTTCAAATGCAATCTTCAATCGCTCCAGTTGTTCACAGTAGAGGTCAGAATTGATGGTTTGGCCATAGGGCAACACTTTATAATGAATAATTGCTCTGATATCCCACCATACACTCAGCAACACCTTCTGAGCCGTCAGTCCTGGCTTTGCCACCGTTTGAGACGACTCACTCGTTTTATGTTGTCATATGTGATCTATTTTTCATCACAAGTCACTAACCGATCAAGAAATGAGTCGAGTTTATAACGGTGCAACAAAGATTCGCAGATTGATACATCGAGCTTTTTTGTTAAATTTTTCGACTTTAAATGCCTATGGACGGTTTCTGAGCTTAGTTGCAGCTCCTCTGCGATGGTTCTAATAGTCACATGACGATCTCGATCAACTATTTCCATGATTTTATCCGTATCAACGGTCACTGGTCGCCCGGAAGGCTTGGGTGTTTCGGTATCAAAATTGCCACTTCGGAATCGCCTAAACCACTGTTAGGCGGTTTGAATCGAAAGTTTGTTAACTCCTAAGACAGCAATAATCTGTCTGCGAGATTCCGCAGCAGTTTTTCCGTGTGCGAAATAAAATTTCAAAATTGCCCAAATTTCTGCGTTTGTGAACTCCATTTCAATCAATTGTAATTTGTTAACGTGGAAGCTCATGAAAACAAACTACATGTTATTTTAAAGGTGATGCCAATTCCATTCAAACGATATACAGCATTGCCAGATACGATTATATTTGACTTTACAAGCGAAGCGCTAAATTTGAATGTGAAAACCGGTATGTCATTACCAAACAACCTAATATAATACCAAAACATCGACGACGATTTTTCTTTGATATTTTTATAACTTCAATGATTGTTTTTATTACATCTGTGTGATATAGTCGTGCAATTTTCATGAAATTGATTTCGAAATTTAAGAGTCCTTTAAA